TTCGTTGTTTGGCAATGGTTCAGCTTCTGCGATATATCGCAGAAAAACTAACTTTATTAACATTTTTAATATGGAAATAGGCGGCGCACGATTGTGATTTGGGGATTTTTAGGATGCTTTGAGCTCCTGGAACGAGTTATGACCAAGAACAGACAACCTCGGAAACTTCTTCAGTAAACATCTAAGTGTACTTTCAACGCAAGATCTCGCATTGCGAAAATACATTTCGACGCTGCAGTGCTACAACAGCTTTGCCGTGTAACATACTACTGTGAGCAATACAAAAGGGAACACGGAATCATGTGGTAGGTAAACTCAAACCTTACTTGTGGTGGTACACGGTAGCGACGTACTATTACTAGAAGTAATATTCGAGGCTATGTACCATGTGCTCCCCATTTCCTTTGATGTCACTCGCAGTACTAGCATATTATCTTTTTCTGTTGAGCCTTCTCAGCCCTCAAGAAATATGGCAACCTCATCCCAGTGTTCATAGCACTGTCTGTAGGTTGTATGACACCCTGTAATTAAAACAGGTTCAGGCATTACACATATTTGAGTTTCTAATATGGTTATACATACCAATATGATCAACTAAAATAAATCTCAAAATTTATTTCAGGAGCCATAAGGAAAAACAAGCGGCTGGAAACGGACAAGGCAGAATTTCGGGAGATTGTAAAAACATGGCTGAAGCACGCCGCAGAAAAACTGAAGAAGGAGCAGCGGAAGCTGCAGCCTGATGAATAATAAAATTATTTGTTGCATACAGTGGAACACCTCTAGTCAACCTTTTAACCCTGTAATGCCCAGACTGATACTGCACTTCGTTGGTTGTTAGTAGCTCTCACGCTGTGGAAATGTAGACATATCGCAATTTCTTCTTCATCTACAAAAGATACTGACTGTATCAGATGCGATACATTGGGCAATTAATAAACTATATCTCTGAACAATACTAAGTTTATTGTTATTGAGTAGACAGTCGTTGAACCGTTAGCTTTTTTAGACATTATGGGCAGGTGGCCTACACTCTCTTTCACCCAGACTTCAGCTTGATAGTGAAATGCAAGAAGTGAAGAACGAAGGTAGAGGAAAAGGAAGGGATCCCAGTGGGGTCCCACTGCGAGACCCCACCTAAATAGGTACCTTTTTTCAGGCTCCTTGCCATGAAAGCTACCATGGTTTCATCGAAAGCATTGAGCTCCTTTTGTTGGAAATACATAGGAGGGAAAATAGCCGTCGGAAATCTTTAAAAAGATACTACAACGAAATTTCGGTGCTTATTTTTTGGTCTATATGTGTTCAAAGGAGCAGCATCACATCGAACAAACCAATACCTTGTTAAAAAAAGTCAGGGAAAAGAATTTTAAAACAAATTAAACGATCAGCAAAGAGCACCTGGTGGATGTCGCTAACGCCTCGTTTGTAATACCCGTCTAGGAACCTTGAGAGGTAGTGACGGCTAAAGCCCCTCGATATGTTTTCGTTTGTCTTTGCAAGTAGCGCCAAATGCGCGAGCGCACGTGGCCCAGGTCTCGAGCGGCCCTTGGAAGCAAATGGCGGCGCAGCACTGAAATGAGCGGCCCTTGGAAGCGAATGGCGGCGGAGCACCCGCTCGTGGCACGTGTCTTGCGCATTTCCACAACAATGGTTGGCGGTACTTGTGAAAACACCTTTATCAAGGGGCTTTAGTGACGGCAACTGTCTCGCCTCCGGCCACCACAAGAGAAGAGGGGAAGGAGGAACTCCCCTCTTCCCGATAATCCTTTTTGTGTGACCCAGAAGTTGCTATTGTCCCACTACAAGATTATAGAAGATTAACTTCTCACTCAAAATTCATACAAAAGCAGCCGCTTCGGTGGCTGAAACGACTACGCCATCCTCTTGACGTTAGCCTTGCCGTAGCATTGCTCGTCCCGAGACGACCTACGTCACGATTGCGTTGGATGTCACGTGGTCTCCGCTGGCTGTTCTCCGAGCGCTTGCCAGGGGGCCGTTTAAACGAAAAATACAGCCACCAGGCTCAAAATAAAAACGTGCGATTGTCATTTACGGATATTGTAGATCATATTCAACCTATTTTTGAACATGACGGGTATATTTCAAATTTTGTTGAAATATCCCTTTAAAGGGATACTAAAACGAAATTTCGACGCTCATTTTTTGGTCTATACGTGTTCAAAGGAGCAGTATCACATCGAACATACCAATATCTTGTTAAAAAAAGTCTCGAAAAGGAATTTTAAAACAAATTAAACGATTAGCAAAGAGCACCTGGTGGATGTCGCTAACGCCTCGTTTGTAATACCCGTCTAGGAACCTTGACAGCTATAGTCAGTTACAGGTCAAGAAGGTAGCGGCAAATGCCCCTCAAAGGGAATCGGATATCCCTCCGCCACCTCCGCATCCAATAGCGTCCCACCGTTTCCGTGACGTCGCGGACAACGCGCGAGGAGGGTCTTGCCTTCCTGTACATATTTGCTTTATCTGTCGACTTTGACTTAGCGTTGTGGAAGCAACGAGAGGGAGATTAGAGTTCTCCCCCACCGACGGAAACAAATACGACTTTCGGAGATTAGCTTCCCCCCCGAAGGATACAAAGGCTGCTTTCAGGGGCTCGGTTCCCTCTTCGATGAATACAAAGGTCGCTTTCTTAAAAAGCGGGATCGGAGACAAGTGGGAATCCATTGAAGCGGAACAAGGAGCGTTTCCAGTGAACTCTTCTTTCGACTGCGGAGAGATTTGAAACGGGCGCATCACACTTGTGGGAGGAGCTTCTCCTACCTTCTTGACTTGTAACCGACTATAGTGACGGTGAGTTCTCGCCTCCGGCCACAACGAGAGAAGAGGAAAAGCGGGAACTCCCCTCTTCCCGAGAATGCCTTTTGTGTGTCGCAGAAGTCGCTATCGTCCCTCTACAAGATTATAGAGGATTAACCCGTCACTCAAAATTTGTACAAAAGCAGCCGCTTCGGTGGCTGGAACGACTAGGCCATCCTCTCGACGTCAGCCTCACCGTAGCTTTGCTCGTCCCGAGACGACCTACGTCACGATTGCGTTGGATGTCACGTAATCTCCGCTGGGCCTGCTCTGAGCGCATGCCAGAGTGGGCCGTTTATAACGAAAAATACAGCCACCAGGCTCAAAATACAAACGTGCGATTGTCATTTACGGATATTGTGGGTCAAATTCAACCTATTTTTGAACACGACGGGAATATTTCAAATTTCGTTGAAGTATTAAGGCAACTCCGCTCAATTCCGAAGATTTCGGGATAATGAGTGATTTCGCATTAAAAAGCCCTAGTAGAAGACACTACGTCATTTGCTTCGCGAAAAATGGGAAATATATTTTTTAAATATAATTTTAAACACGAGCGGAAATCAAAACCGAAACTTCGGCTCCGCCCGGCAACATTGGCCTCGGGCCGCCAAGAACATGGCCATCACGTGATATGAGATGTCACGTGATTCTCTACCCAACGACGGGCGGGATTGGGGCAGGCGTGTGCCAGGTGCAAGTGTCGTCTGCACCGCTTTCTTTGCCACGTTTCGGTGTTTCAAGATTCGACGACGTCTGCACAACCGCTCCAAGAGGCAATAATTGTCAAGAAAGAAGCCACAGACGCCGAGATCCAGCCATGGCATACCATCATGTAATCCGCTCCCGAGTCAAATCAGTAAACATTGTTTTCTGACATGGTGTCAGAAGCAGGATCTAACAAGAAGAACCTCAGCAGAAACTATACAGACACAGATTCGAGCGACGGAGCGAAGAGGTTGTTAAGGCAAGACAAACAAGCCGACGCACGTGAGCGCCAATTTCGCAACTATGGAACGTGGTATAAAGACGCCGAAGCCTCTTGATCTGTTGTCGCAGTCGCCAGATGCCTGAAACGACTGGCTTCAGAGCTACGAATGGTACACAACAGCGATCTAGTTACAGAAGAAACCTCCCGAAGTTCAAGTAGCGAACTTCATGACTGTCATCGGCCCAGACGGGTCCATATCACATGAGCGAATGACGTTTTAGCAAACCGCGACATTTGAGCGAATCGACTTTTTAGCGAATAACGGGGAGGCGCGTTGGCCCATCCCCCGCGCTGCGCTTACGCCGCTTCGCGGCGACAGTTTGCGGCGGCTCATTACAAAAAATGTGAGCCCACTTGGCCCACCCGAAAACGCCGCTTCGCGGCGTCCGACAATTTGCTAAAGTGTCATTCGGTGAAACGTGGGCGTTCGCTAACACGTCATTCGATCAAGTGAGTGCCTCCCGGCCCAGACACACAGAACGTGTTCCGAACGCTCCCAGTGAGCGAAGACAACAAGAACCTGGACATCGTAAAGCAACGGTTCAAAGAGCACTTCCACCTAAAAGTCGACCACGCCTACGGACGGTATACAGGTTCAATCAAATGAAGCAGAAAGAGGGCGAGATCTTCAACAAGTTTTTGACGGCCGCAAGACTCCAAGCAAAGAAATGTAGGTTCGGTGAGCTGACTGACGAACTACTACGTGATCGCATTATTGTTGGCGTCATTAACGACGACGTCAGAGAAAGACTGCTAAGCGACCCGACTGTCACCCTGCAGAAAGCCGTGAATCTCTGCATGGTGAGCGAACAGGCGGCACAGCAGCTCGAAGAAATCGCAAACAAAGAAACAAAGACTGTCGACGCCGTCACGAAGAAGACAAAGCACCTACCAAGAAAATAAACTGTCGCGGAGACAAAAGAGCGAGCGCCGACTAATTCTGGAATGACAAGAAAAGCATGCAGCACATGTGGAGGATTTCACAGACCAAAAGAATGTTCAGCGTACGGCAAGACGTGTAACAAGTGCCAAAAGAAATGACACTTTGCTGCAGTGTGCCGATCAAGCAGAAGTACGGTACCACACAAGGTCCATGCCATCGACAACCGCGAAGACCCTGAAGAAGAAATGTATGTGTCAGAGCTGAGAATCAAGACAAGCAAGTCAGTGTGGAGCTAAAGTTGTGATGAAACTGGACACAGGAGCGCAATGCAACGTCCTGCCAAACAAGAACGTCCAAGCCATGAGACTACAAGTGTTTCCTTTGCCAGTCAAGAGAATTACCACATACAGCAATCACAAGGTCCAAGTGATCGGTGAGGTGAAAGAAACATGCACTGTTCGTAATAAGCCGGCGAAGCTGAAATTTCTCGTCGTGAACTCCGACATGACACCAGTTTTGGGTCAGAACGCATGCGAGCTCAACCTCGTGAAGAGAGTGCACACAGTCCAAGCAACGCGAGAAGATGACGAAATATTTCAGGGCATCGGTTGCATCAAGAACTTTGTTTATAATGCCGGTGTCAAAGGAGAAGCAAGCAAGAAGTTGGAAAACAAGCCACCAAGAAGAGTCCCATATGCACTCATGGATGAGGTCAAGCAAGAGCTGACGAGCATGAAACAGAAAGAAACCATCGAAAAAAAATCACAGAACCAACTTCATCCTGTAATGAAATGGTTGTTGTGAAGCAGCGAGGAAAGATCAGGATCTGCGTCGATCCAGTGGAACTGAACAAAGTTCTCGTAAGATGAAACTATCCTCTCAAGACTATGGAAGAAATTGTTGCGCATGTCAGAGTTTCCAAGCGGTTCACTCTGCTAGACCTCAAGAAAGGATTTTGGCAAATGCAAGTGTCGGAACGCACCAAGAAGTATCTAGCCTTCAGCACTCCATGGGGCAGGTACTGCTTATTTGGAATAGCCACAGCACCGGAAGTTTTGCAACAAGTCAGCAGAATCCCGGAAGAGATTCTGAACGCCGTCAGCTCCATGAACGACATCCTGGTGTATGCCGGAACAAGCCAACAGCCGCAAGAAAGTACAAAGAAGGTCATGGACGCTCTGAAAGAAGCTGGCGCTAAACTCAACAAGGACAAGTGTGTCTTTGGCAGGCCTGCAGTCAAGTTTCTTGGTCATGAAATCACTGCAGAAGGACTCAAGATAGACCAAGAAAAGGTAGCCGCTGCGACCAGTTAGATGAACCGAAGAACAAGACCGGGCTATAAAGATTGCTAGGGATGATCCAGTATCTCCAGAAGTTTGTGCCCAACCTTGCGGACAAGACTGCACCACTGAGAAAGCTCATCACCAAGGACAGTGAGTGCCTGTGGAAAGAGGAACAGAGCAAGGAGCTGACCGAAATCAGGCAAGCGTTGAAGAGTGCACCAACACTTGCATGCTACGTTTATGGTGCTATGACCCTTTCAGTAGATGCAAGCTCAAAAGCCCTAGGAGTGTTCTCCTGCAAGGAAAGCCTGTTGCCTACGCCGCAGCAGCAATGACAGAAGCACAACAGAACTACCCTCAAATCGAGAAGGAGGCACTAGCGGTCTGCTACGGCCGCCAGAAATATCACCAGTATATCTACGGAAGACTGCTAACCATAGAGAGTGACCACAAGCTGATCGAGAGTATTGCAAAGAAGCCGCTGAGCAAAGCCCCTCCTCGACTACAAAAACTTCTCTTCGATGTACAGCAGTACGCACCAACCATTGTCTACAAGAAAGGAACAAAACTCGTGATCGCAAATTTACTAAGCAAAGACTGCATCAAGAACGAGTCAGCAGGTGCATACACAGATGACATACAAGTGATGACAATTGTACCCATGTCACCTGAAACAGTGGAAGAACTGAAGAGGGACATTGACCAAGACAAAGAAATCCATGAAGTGATCCAAGCCACGAAAGAAGGATGGCCAAGCACCACAAGAGGGCTCAGTGAACCAATGAAGCTGTATTGGTCATTTAGAGATGAACTCGATGTGCATGACGGCATTTTGTTCAGAAGCGAGCAGATAGTCATTCCGAAGACTTGGAGGAACAGACTGCTCGTCCAGGTCCACGCTGGATACCTAGGCATAAACATCTGTCTAAAGAGAGCCTGCAAGACTGTTTACTGGCTCAAAGAAGTACTAGATTTCTCGTGGGAAAGAGTAGCATCAGATCTCTTCAACTTCGAAGGAAGATCCTACGTTGTCATTGTCGACAGCTACTCTGGATACCTAGACTTCAAGAAGCTCTCAGGAGAATCAGTTGTAAACGTCATGAAAGAGTGGCTAGCAACTCATGGCGTCCCCAGAGTCATTGAAACAGACAACGGTCCCTGCTACGCAGCACAAGAATTCAAGAACTTCAGCAGAGACTGGAGATTCCAACATGTGACTTCAAGTCCCAATTACACGCAGTCAAATGGTCTTGCTGAAAGAGCCGTTCAAACTGCCAAGGGGATTCTCCGAAAATGCTCTCTGGATGGAAGCGATATACAAATGGCCCTCCTCAGTTTCAGAAACACGCCAAGGAGTGAAGAACTGGGTTCACCTGCACAGAGGCTGTACAGCAGAAGGACAAGAACTCCAGTTCCTACACACAGCAAGCTACTAAAGCCCCAAATAATCCAAAGCGTGTCCGACAAGCTGCGTCACGAGTGCAACCAGCAGAAGACTTACACTGACCAGCACTCTATACGAGCCCCTGCCATGGCCCCAGGCGATAAAGCGAAAGTCTGGTAAGAAAACAGGAGATGGGTTCCTGGAACAGTCGTACGTCTTTCGGAAGAACCTCGGTCTGTGATAGTACAGACGCCAAAATGACAGTACCGTCGCAATATGTCCTTTGCAGTGATGTGATTGGCCTAAGCCGTTTTGGAGCACCTTTTGGAGCCGCCAAAACAGTGTTTTGGAGCAGGAAAAGTGGCTTTTGGAGCAGCCAAGGCAGTGTTTCGGAGCAGCAAAAGTGGCTTTTGGAGCAGCGAAAGCAGTGTTTCGGAGCAACAAAAGTGGCTTTTGGAGCAGCGAAAACAGTGTTTCGGAGCAACAAAAGTGGCTTTTGGAACAGATATTCTTAAAAAAAAAAAAAAAATTGTTTCAAGTGCTGGACAAACCAAGGACACTTTGCTCGCCACAACAAACAAATTATAGTCCAGTTAGACCACCTTGGAGTCTCTAAACACGTAACTGAAATGCCAATGACATGACACATTCTGCAATGCTTCAGTTAAATTATACGTATATATGTACCCGCTATAGGTAAATAAGAACCAAATTGCACATATTAACATTTATCTGAAAATGACCAGCTCAGTATAAATAGCACAGCATTAGGTTGACTAGTGATAAAATAAATGAAAGCAGTCTCCAACTGATGAAACACGTGACGTAACTACTGCAGTGCAATACGAAATTGTCGCACGATCCAAGATGGCTGTACGATCGAAACCATGCCACTCCACTCCGTCGCCAACTGGTTCCCAAAATTGCATGCAAAATGTAACTTTCCAGCATACGACAAAAGACTGTCCAGCGTCACGTGCTTGCCAGGCCGGCAGGCAAGGTACAAGCTAAACACACAGAAAAAAAAATAACCTGAGCACATCGATGCATGACATCACGAGCCAGGGTCAAAAAGTTCTTGGAGAGCTTTGTGCAACGGCTGAACTCGCGAGACAAACAAGCGCGCTGAGCGGGTTCAGCCTACAGACATTGCATTCTTTTCTTTGGCTCACTTCCCTTCACCAACTTTCTTTCGCGGCAGATGTTTCACGCACCAGGGTCCCTCCCGAAAGAAAGCCCACTGAGAGAAACCTAGGTAATCAATACTTCGACACAGAAGTCTGAGCCAAAAAGAGATTTTCGTAGTAGCGTATTAAACAAGAACAGGAATGTTGATGAACATTCGGCGATATTTAGTTTCATTTTAGAAAGCGGCATATCTGCAGCGACGTGGGGACGGCAACATCCGACGTCGCGCGACCACGGTGACTGGAAGGCAGGAACCAAATATAGTTTTCCCATGGCCGTTGCTTTCAGGAGCGAGTGCTTCAGCTCACTAAGGAACTCCCGCCGCGCAAAAACGTGATTTCGTTTCATAGTATGACGACAAGGCTGGTACCCTAGCACGTTAGCGTCTTAGCGCCGCACACGTCCGTCGTCTATCGTTAAAAAAATAATAAAAAACTTTAAGAACGCGAGACGATGGGGACGCGGAACGAGACATGACGGGGAAACCATGCAAGACCGCGGATGAACGATTGATGCAGGGTACTTTGTGTCGGGTGGCCGCTTGCGCCATTTAGCTCACCGCGTGCTTAATTACGGTACTCAGTTTAGTTTCGGTTTAGAAAGGCGACCGAAATTGGTACTTTGGCGCAGGCTTGGCGCAGATTACCCATATCTTGGCAAAATGTAGCAGGATGTAGCAGGGTTAGCCCCTTGGCGCAGTTTGGCGCAATTGGCGCAGCAATCACATCACTGCCTTTGGTTATCCGACAAGGGCTGAGCTACACTACGGTGCAAAAATTCATGCTGCCAATGTCGAGCCACATGCGCCACAGCCTGTGACCGACAGCCGAGCGTGCCCCAGCCCCCAGCGAGAGAACCCGGCAGACTCAACCACTGTGACCAAATCAGGTCGCATAATCAAACCAGTCGTCAGGCTTGATCTCTAAATAAAAAAATGAAAGTCGCTTACAACCCCCTGTTAGAGTGCAGCTCTTGAGGAGGAGGAGAGGGGTACTGAGGGGAGCATATACCCCTCCTCCCTCCTCATGCTGCGTGCTACTCCTCCCTCCGAGCGGCGTCGCCGTCGCCGCCAGCGTAACCGTGAGGTCACGTGACTCTCGTGACGTCATCGTGATGACGTCCCTGATGATGACGATGACGTCATCACGATGACACCACTGATGATGTCACTAGTGATGACGTCATTGTGATGACGATGAGGATGACGTCATCACAATGACGTCACTGATGACGTCATCAGTGACGTTATCGTGATGATGACGATGACATCACGCGTCCCGTAATGCACTGCTCAATTATGCCGACAGCGACGCTGTTTAAGCCGGAAACGGGTGCCTAAGCGCTGCGCTCTAAAAAGGGGGATGTCAAGAAAGCCAAGCCAAGTAAAAGCCAGAGACGCTGAGATCCAGCCATGGCGTACCATCATGTGATCCGCTCCCGAGTTAAATCAAAACATTGTTTTCTGACAATAATCACAAACGGTGAGACGATGACGGCGGTTGTTACGAGAGAGACGGTGGTAACGGTGAGACCACAGCGGGGCAGCCAGACGGATCCCAAGAAGCGCACTGCGCAGGCCCATTACGCCTATCACGTGGACACCGCTGAGCGCTGAGAGGAAACGTTGATGACGTCATCTGCTACGCTCACCCGGAGAAGTAAAAACAAGCAAAAGGGGGCAATGGTGATGACGTTTAGCTCAGTGTTGGTTACGCCCATGTCGTAGCCTTGACTGTGTGCTGGTTGTGCTTGAATTCGCCCGCTCGAGTCAGCCAATTTCGGCAACTTGGCGAGTTGCAAAGTTTGCCAGGCTGTTGAAGAAACATTTAGAAAGAACTGCGTCGTAATATTTGACGTGTCCTAGGCAATACTGAAAAGGACTGCATTGTTTTTTTTTAAAACCAAAAATAAAGCGGAGTTGCCCTTTAAGTGGGGCTTTCTTTCTCCGTTTTTCTTCAAATCATTTGTAAGATTTGTCTGAGACCTGCCTTCCATGTTAACCATAGTTAGGCTGCGGATTTCTGGTCTTGTGGTCTTCAAATCAGAGATGGGCAGTATTTCAAATACAAGTATTTTAAATATGTATTTCAAATACCTTGTGTATTGAAGTCGCTGACAATGTGGATGCACTACAAAATTTCTTTAATCCATTTTTAGATATGCCATCACGAACCTGGGTGTTTTGTGTGCAATTCTCCCATTAGCACTGTACCAGCCATGACAGTGTCATATGACTTGGCATGTCGCTGCGCCAACTAGTCATGCGACATGCTTTACGTGCTGGATAGGCTTGTAGCATTGGCTGCAGTACATCAGAAGGCGACACTGGGCATGGCAGGCACACTTGGGATGTACATCCTGGAAACACGCTGGGGCCGGACAAATTGCTCCTTTGAGGCCCACTTGAGGACTACAAAAAGCGTTACGGACGTTTCTACTAGACACTCTTAAAGGGGCGCTGCAGAGATTTCTGAGATGGCCTACTATAGAAGTAACTCGACCTACGTGCTCTAAGCATCCCAAAAGTCCAACAGTTACAGACATGTGCGGCCTATTTCCCTACTAGAAATGTGATCAAGGATAGTGGATCTCAGAGCTACAGATGGCACCACCAAACCCGATCAAATCTGGTCGAACGACGAACGGCGCTCGGGAGCCAATCGTGAATGCCGTACGTCATTCGACCAGATTCGGCTGGGTTCGGTGGCACCATCTGTAGGTCAGATTCACAATCCTTGATCAGATTTTTAATAGGAAAACAGGCTGTAGATGACTGTATGCATTGGATTTTTGGGGCGCTTAGAGCATGTAGATCGAGTTACGGCTATAAGTAGGCCATCTCAGAAATCTCTGGGGTGCCCTTTAAGACGTCCTCAGAATTTCCTTATGTTGTCTGTGTGGATGTTTCCAGGACACCCTTAGGACGTGGTGGGGCTGGACAAATGGACCTTCTGAGCATCACTTGAGGACCTGTAAAGACGTCCTGGGGAGGTCTCTACATTCACATAGGGACGTTCTTAGGTTGTCCTCAGGGCGTGCTTATGTCATCTGTGTGGCTGTTTCCAGGACATCCTCACCACGTGATGGTACCGGACAAATGGACCTTCCGAGGATAGCTTGTGAACCCCGTAAAGACACCCTGAAAACGTCTTTACGTCCCCATGTCGAAAACCTTCGTATGTCCTCAGGATGTTCTTGCGTTGTCCGGGAGGTTTGCGACGCTCTGCTGATTGTGTCGATGCTTGACTGCGTGCACTTGCTTTTGGCGTTCCCCCCAGAGACTTGTACACCTTTGGAGCTGTAGCCGTGCTTTGCTGAAGTTTGCACTGCCTTGCTGCTACCAACGACTTTTGTTGTCTGTGTTCCTGAAACTTTGACAATGAACATCTCATAAGCTATTTTTAGGTAAAGCTGCAACTTGAGAGGGCAGTGAAATTACTAAAGAGCATGCGTCTTTAATCCATGTCAGGCTGTTAGACAAGTAACTCTTAGTGATACGTTGCAGATTGCCATGATTGCCAGTACAATTGACCTTGTTCAATCGCAAACAGGAACAAATAAATTTTTTCTTATGCCTATAAATATTTCTTGCACTATATTTAGACTGCCCTGGGAGAAATAGCTCAAACGACACAGGAAGTCGTTTGACTCACTTCAAAAAGCTTTGCGTGGAATTTCATCTCAAAACTCTTTTCGGCATAAAACGCTTTTTATATCCAAAAAAAAAGCTACCGCGCTCTGAAAAAAAAAAAGGCTTCACAGTCTCAAAACAATTCCCTGAATAAGAAATTACCTGGATAAGAACACTTTCCTCAATAATTACTGCACATGTGCACCTCTGTGCTGTGATACAACATCACACAGTGAGGGAAAAGCACTTTTTTTAATACTACCTATTTCAGGTTAAATTCACATAAGGAGAAACTGAGAAAGTTGGGTATGTTTGCTTATTAGATTCCCTTTGAACAATCGACCACGGCCATCTGGTCTGTATGGTTATTCTCGCACCAAATGACAGATTTCAGTTTGATAGTTTTTGGAAACAAAATGCACCCAATATAGTCAAAGTTAGCAAAAAATTGACGTTTAGATTTCTCGATCTGGCTAATTTCAGCAACAACAAAAAAAGGAAGGCTGTGTCTAGAGTGCCGTCCGACGGCACTCTTGCAGTGTGTTCAGGTGCCACCCGACGGCACTCCACTCGTGCCTTCAAGTGCCACCCAAAAGAAAGTATGACGGCGCGTGTATCACTGGGAAACGTTTTAAGCAACCCCCCGCGCCTGCGTTCACACTAGAGTTCCTGTTTAGGCTCCGTACGGAAGCCAGAGTTGCGCGTTCATCCACGTAGCGCCGGGTTTCCTGCACACCATTCAGAGTCTGCTCCTCACGTGACTGAATTCGGCAAATAGCAGCGCCGCGCGTTCGAGGCATGCGGTGCGCTCAAAAGCGGGGGATGCAGGGCCGTATATTGGGAGAGTCTGGCCGATGGGCGGAGCAAAGGCCACCGCCAGCGCCAAATACTCCTCCCGTAATTAGAGCATAAACTACATGTGCAACACAGCGTCGACCAATCAGCAGACCGCGATGTCACAATATTGTAAACAACATTTAAAGCGTGAAATATAAGCGTTCAATCTCGACGATAGTTTGCTCTTGACCGGCTTCCTAGAACAACGTCTCAGCTAAGACTGGCTGAAAGAAAACAAAAAACAAGAAGACAACAACGTTGAGGGGATGCCACACCGGGCGTCGGCAGCGCCTCAATCTAAGCCCTGGGCCTCGGTACCTCGGAGGCAGCAGCTTTCTGCTTTGACTGGGCTACAACCTTGGAGGCTGATGCTTCAACCATAGTGAGCGACAGCACCATCATGCTCCTGGGGCTCCTTTATGCTACCGTGCACAGATCGAACGGCAGGCTGCAGATCCCCTTGGCCTGCTGCTGACTTGCCTCAAAGGAATGTGGACATCTTCAAATCGGACTGACATCCTCCGCAATAGCAATAATCCATCTTGTCGTCATCTTGCATGTATATACTAATCGCACAATCATGTTCATTAGATGCGGCACCGCGAGCCTTTATGGTACAGGCTGTTGCCTGCAGATATTATTATTAAATAATGAAGATATTATTATTATTATTAAAATAGTGCAGAGGGTGGGGCACATGAGCGTCTCGGGACGCGGTTTACTCGGCTCGGATTGAGACGGTCCCGCTAGGCTCGTGCGCTGGCTTTGGCAGTGCTTTCTTTCCCCCAGTCCACTGATCTCTATGACAATTGCTGGACTGCGCATCCCCACTTCGCGAGTGCGGCCACCGGACAGTCATCTTGCATGCAGTTTTTTTTTTCTCGTTTTGCTAGCGTTGCAGAGGTTGGCGGCAGCATGCTAAAGACATGTTTTCTACTCGTTCGTCGTCATTCGCCGAAGACGCTCTTTAAGATCATGTGTGAGCTGTGATACTTGCCGTTGAGAACATGCGGAAATTTTTACGAAAGCGTAGTGCCGCAGGAAAAAGGCGCAACTCGTCGAAAGCAAGTTTCACTGGTCTCGCGTACAAAGCTTCCTTGGCACGCCAAAGTGCTGTGTCTCTCTGCTTTCGCACGCTTGGGTACCGACCAAGAATCGACGCCGTGTGGATGCGTTTTGCGATTGTAATGTGTGTGAAGCCGAATGTAAAGGTACAACTCGTCGAAAGCAAGTGACGGCAGTCTCGCGGCGTGATCAAAGCTTCCTTGGCACACCGAGTGCTGCATCTTCGTGCCTTCGCACACTTTGATACCGATCAAGAATCGACGGCGCACTAATGTTTTTAAGGTGTGTGGCACGTAGATGTCTTGAGATCATATATATATCGGCCACGGAGTTCTGGACGTCCAGCTGTTCCGGTGAGTTGCTATCAATAAAAGGGGGGGGGGGGGGGGGTGATCTGAGCATGCTCTTATGTACTATTAACCAGTCTTGGGCAATTTACTTTTAAAAAGTAATTCGTTACAGTTACAGTTACTTTTAAAAAGTAACAAAGTTACTTTTCTATCACACAAAAAAATTTAGGAAAAACTAGAAAACGCCCCTCACCAAGCTTTATTGCATAAAATTAAATATGCACTTTTTAGTTCATATTGTACTTAGCAGCAGTTATTTCTCGAACGTATTGTCTGAAAGTTTCCCTCATTTGATGGCAAACACATCCCTGCCCTTGCTGAACAGGCGCTCAACTGGCGGACTGGAAGGAATTGCACAGGGGCAAACGCAGCCCAATACAAATGCCCTATCCTTGGTAGCACGAGCACATTGCTGGCTCGTTGACGGTTGCGCTGGGTTCGTAGAGTCGCTGGACATATTTCAGTTCGTAGCCAGCAAGCCAGAAACAAACCCCGCGAAAACAGCAGTAAATTTTGCCTCGATTGTTGACACCACGTCGGAGTAGTGTCGCTAATCAAAATACGAAACATGCGCAGTGCCCTCCGCGTGTATTGTTGATTCACCCGAATAAAAAGTGTTTGCGCTGAAAAAAGCTCGAGGTACACCTAAGCACTTATGAGTTGTGAATCCGAAAGCACAGAAGCACCGTCGACAATGTGAATGGTGGAGGCGACACCATGTTGGTCGGCGGCAAGACGAGCAGAAGCCTCCGAGCGAACGCCAACGTGTCTGTTTTAACCGGTACGAGGCCCGTAGTTGCATGGGGTTGCGGCGGTTAATATTATCGGCGCGCTGGTGGCACGGACACGCAGCGCTATCTGGCGGTAGTTGTTGAAACTGACGCGTGCAGCGGCCAATGGGAGCCTTGTCGCTGCGCGCCAGCCATTGGGACCTTTGGGATCAGGGAAACTAGGTGCCGTTTTCACGCTTCAAACTGATGACGTCGGCTCGCTCCATGGGACCAGTTAATGCTTTCGCATTAAAAGAAAAACCGCAACATAGATAGCACTACAAGATGCTAAGATGTAAGTGTTCAGTCACAAAGTACAAGCAAGTGCGTAAAGATTACTAGATTTTTATTTTTCATTAGATCTACACGTTGGCTATATTCAGGTCGTGACTCACGAGAAAGAATGTATTCACAAGTTTGTGCAAGGCCAACTGGACACTCGATATGTCGGAAAAGACAATTTGGAAAGCGCAAGTAATAGCTGAATTGCACCTGTTCAAAGATATATTATTCATAAGAAAACTGGCAAGTAACGACAAAAGTAATGTCGTTACTTTCATCATTACCTGAGAAAAAGTAATGGAACTACAGTTACAAGATACATTTTTAAAAAGTAACTCGTGAGAGGTACAAGTTACCAAAAAGTAACGAAGTTACAGTAATGCATTACTAGTAACACGTTACTAGTAACACATTACTATCCAAGACTGCTATTAACCATGGCTAGGTTACAAATCTACTCTAATGGTTCACATAGCACGAATAGAGCAATGCTGTGGAGCAAGGAGGGTTTTCGAAGGCAAAAGTACAAAATGGCGAGAACAAAAATTTTTGAAGCGCGGCCCATATGGTTGTGTGCAATCTGTTGACCAATCACAATTAGGCGAGCCTCGCTCAAACGTCAAGTGCAATTAATAAGTAGGTTGATAATGAGCCAGCACTGATCAATGATAAGGAGCTGTTGTGCGTGGTATTCTGTAAATCGTCTAACGACAAAAAAAAGACATACCTTCCTTCCCCCCTCTTTTGTCGCTACTGGACGCAGGGTCAAGCTCAATTCTGGACTGCAAATGCCACAAGTATACAGTCGTCCGAGTAAAGTAAGACGCTGATCCAGAGGCACATTCAGCTTTACGCACAATGCACTCGCAAAACACATCCACACGGCGTCGATTCTTGATCGGTATCAGGGCGTGCGAAGGCACAGAGACACAGCACTTCAGCATGCCAAGAAAGTTTTTAACACGCCGCAAGACCGGTGAAACTTGCTTTCGACGAGTAGTGCCTTTTTCTTGCGGCACTGCAGTTTCGTAAAACTTTCCACGTCTTTTCAATGGCAAGTATCACGGCTAACACAGGATTTCAAAGAATGTCTTCGGCGAATGACGACAAACGAGTAGAAAACGTGTCTTTAGCATGCTGCCGCCAACCTCTGCAATGCTAACAAAAAACTGCATGCAACATGGCTGTTTGGTGGCCGCATACACTGCAGCGAACAAGCGGGGATGCGCGATCCAGCAATTGACATAGCGATCAGTGCCCCAGTCTCAGCTGAGACGCTGTTCTCCGTCTCGCCCTACGATGAACTGGGGCCCAAAGGCTGGTGGGTGGAGCACTACCTCAGAAAAGCTTGCATCCGCATTGCGAAAGAATGCACGGGAGAAATTGCGACACGCAGAGTATGAATAACATTAACCTAACGCACATGATTCTCTCTTATGATGGTGTGCTATTTTATATTGATGAAATAAAGGCACATGATATTTAGTTTCATAAACGTTCTTGCCATATTTCGTAAACATGTCAACAGTTTGGAGAAGTTGGATGGTGCGCAGGCAACACCGACATAAATTTGTTTCGCCTTAGCCATAACAATCCAATCCAACTTTTGTGTGCGTAAAACGTACCTGGACCCGCACCTCCCTTACGCACGCAGTCCGTACATACACTCCATGTCGAGCATACTATCCGACTCATCCTTATTTCTTAGGGGGCCCTGCAAGGACTTTTTTACTGGTTTTTATTTTGCACCGAACCAGAGCGCACTGAACGTAGTAAATTAATGAAACTTTTCTTTTCTCGAAATTCGCTTTATTTTAAAAGATATAGGCAAATTAAAATTACAAAAACGAGCAAAAAATAACCTCCCTCATGACGTCCTTGGTTGCTTGACTGGCCATGAGCTCGAGGAGGGGTAGTGAGCTTATCGAGCGCTCACGGCTGCCGCACTCCGTGTCGGCGGCGCGAGAGAGTGCCACTAAAGCATATTCTGGATAGGCTGTATGCAGCGGGCAGCCAGAGCGGCTCGCATTGCATTTGCTGCGCGATTAAACACTAATTCGGCATGACACTTCATTGGCCACAAACGACAGCAAACACGGGGTAAAGATCAGTTCAGGATGGCAGCCACTTCGCGCTGCCATACCGCGAAACGGGCAAACCGCAAGACAAAGCTTCTCGCCGAAGGCCTTCGGAAAGCTCGGAGCCGATCGGATCCTCTTGTCCATAAGACCGCAGCGCCGCTGCGTACATCCGGGACCTTTCCGTGTCGGCGCCTGATCCCACTACTCCTTTCTAGTGATCGACACACCCGCCTTTTCCACCGCTTGGTGGCGGGTATGTCGACGGGTCATTTCTTGTTTCCGTACTTTATAAACTGCATTTGTTTGTTTTCTGCTCTAAAATACTGAACAAAAACTACCTTTATAAATAATTGAAACGGTTCGCGCCACTTATATTTTGCATTTCAACTAAAAAGAATCTTTTAGCGGCTCTGACCGGTAGTGAGCCCAGGACCAAAGACGTCACATTTTGCGCGCTTTCGGTGCCGCGGGTCGCCCTCGTCGGTGGAGGAGGTTTCCACGTCGTCCAGTTATAATATGACGCATTGATATTTAGTTACTCTTTCCGCGCCCGCTGGCTTGCCCAAACCCCAAGAGACGTGGAAACCGGAAAAAAGGTAGACACTTAAATATGATTGCAGGGCCCCTTTAATGGCCACTGGTTCTCATCCCGGGTCCTCTTTGCCCCATCGCTTCCAGATGGCATTTAATCCCTTCAGTAGTCTTCAGTAGTTGCAACCAGACGGAGCCGCCGAGAGGGCTCAATAAGCAGACAAAACATTTGCCTCCACATGACGCGTCTTGGAGCAGTGATACGTACGACGGATCAAATATATATGTGGTTTCTCACAGGCTCGTGATTGGACCTGGCGGCCTGTAGCATTGGGCTTTAGTCCATTGTAGGATGAGACAGAGTATAGCAGGTCGGCCCTGGTTTGGACCGTACATTCATTTATGCTATCGTTGAATATGGACCTGACGAGAACCTCACATGCACCAAGTTTTGTCACCAAGAGTTATACCTTCCTACTCGAGCGACGCTAAAATGGCTTGAAATTAGCGAAGTCGCATTTTTAGAGCTCATGATCACCGCTAGGGGCTGTTTCGAGGACTGTGGTTGGCCTCGAGATGCTCGTCTATTAGAACCAATGTGTGGCCAAACTCTCCCAATGTAAGGCTCTGGCGGAACGTACGCCGGTCGCGTGGAACATCTACTTTCCTGCACGGCATTTGATCCGGCTCCTCACGTGATCGGATCTCGGTGAATAGCGGCGCGGCGGCACGTGGACAACAGACGCGCAACTCTGGCTCCCGTAGGGAGCTACAGGAACTCTAGCTCACACCTTCGCGGCGACACTGCGGATAGCGGAGAGCAAGCCGTCTGCTTCTCGCGCGGAGGTTCCGGTGACGTCACAACGACGCCGAGTTCTGACTAGCTTTGATTGAAAGGATAGTGCGTAGACCTCACCTTGAGCCGAGACGTTTTCCGGCAAAGCACAAGCCGCAGCGCTCGATCCAGATTCGAGGGCTTGCCTCAACGTCTATCATGCAACGAGAACAACAGAAGATATCAATCGAGGAATGCATGGCCGCAAAGCTGAAAAGATCGTACCTCGATTCGCCGCCGCTTGATGTAGGCCGCTCGTGCTGGAACAGCGGGCGGACGGTGGGCAAAGAGCGACGGCACGGCATCTTTTTTCAGCCTCGTGCCCTTCGCTGACAAGCCACAAGCAGCCAACACCCGTAGGTCTCGTTCGTAACTGTCCGGGGAAAAATGATCGGAGCAGAGCTTCGACCTGGGGGTCGGCGCCCAAGGCTTTCCAAAGTCCACTCGTCGAACAGCGTTGACCCACGCCTTCTGCAATTTCCGGTCCGTTGGAAACTTATGAAAAAGCACCTCCGGGTTACGCAGCGGGTTGTTTGAGCAGCCCACAGCGCTACAAGTTGTGCTCGGCATCTTTAGAGGCACAGCTGGGCAGTCTTGGGCTGTTGTTGGTCCGCAGGGCGAGTTGCTAAGCCGGCTAAGCGTTGAAAATGGTTAAAAATCGCGCACTAGTACATAGTGATGGGCTGAAATTTTGCAGAATTGAGAATTCGGCGCCGAATCTTGGGATTCCGCAAAGTTCAATTTTTTGTCATTTTTGCCGACCTTTTCGAAAGATCTAGCAGATGGATGGACGTTAATGGCTATACCCTTTGTAACGGGCGGTAGCTTGTGCCACCTAGAGATTCTTCAAAATATATTGGTGCTAAACCTAAAAGTTCATATATCGTTTCTTCGTGAAAAATTTGCCTTTAGGTGTTTTGTTTTAAATGCATATTGACACAGTTATTACTAGGGGTGTCGCGAACTTTTGTCGAACCAGATTTTTCGGTCGAACTTTCGGGGTTCGACTGGGTTGAACCGGTTCGACGAACCTTCGAACTTTTCACCAGATTCGACCGGTTCGACTTTATGGACAGTGTGGCCAGACCTTGATACAAGCATGTCTAGGTTTGGAGAATTTCTTTTTTTTATACAGAGGGTTATTGTATTGTGTGAACAGCTGCAATTAAAAGAAACTAATTCTATTCACTGAAGAAGTTAATAACTTAAATTTTAGTACTGTATTGACTGAAATAGCCGATCAGCGCTGCACTTAATTCTTCTCTTAGCCATTACCATCCAATCCGAAGCCAACTGGCCAGCCTGTCGCGCATGCGCACACGAGTCGAACCTCAATACAAGGTTCGACGAACTTTCCACTAAAAGTTCGAAAAAGTCGAACCTGGTCGAACTCGAACCGCGGCCGGTTCGCGACACCCCTAGTTGAAAGTTGCGCTTTTCTGTGTCTACTCCCTTGTGTCGCACAAAAAAAACTTTTAGACTGAATGCTAATTGCAATGCAATATTATTTTGTTTTGGCACAAACTACTTGTGAGCCGAAAACAGGGGAGTGCTTTAAATTACTTGTGCGTCAATGTTGCAACTTCGTTGCTTCAATGGAAAGATGAAATAAAATCACATTATCCCGGATGTACCACATCATTTATCATTTGCGCAGTGGACTGCATCATTTTTGAGTAAATTTCTGGTCGATCTTTCATTTTTGAGGCAGAAAATATTGAAGAGAACCACACTCACAAAGGCTGGCAAATACAGTTACCATGTCGCCTACTCTGCACCACGCCGTAACCGCTGGTAGTACTACACTCCGATGGTGACCACACGACCGCATGGCATCCATTTGCCCATGGCCCAGTCGCGTTCTCGCGCATGGGCATACTTTGGCCGAATTTTCGAGAAACAAGTTCCTTCAAAAGTTTGGCATGTGCCAAACTTTACGGAATCTGAAGTTCGGCAGATTCGGTCCATCACTACTAATAACGCATTAGGTGTAACTAGTTGCTTTTTGGAGTAACTTGCAACTGTAACTCATTACTGCTTAGTGAAAACAACTTGTAACTGTAAGAGTTAATACTTTTCGAAAGTAACTGTAAAAAGAAACGTCGTTAGAGCTACTTGTCAGATTTATGTGCAAAAATATTGCAAACACAACCACCAAATCGTTTCACAACTCGTGAGAGTCCCATGTCCTGGTACACGAAGGCCGCAGCAAGAACTGCTGCAGAAACGTCTGGAGTCGGAGGGGAAACAAATAAAAATATAAAGAAACTAAATTTTGGCTCGCCCTGCTTGCTCAAGCTGGCACCGCCAACTGGGAGGATGGGGACGTTCGTGTACGCACCAGTTGTGTATGGTACATCGCCCACAGAGCACGCAGGCTTATGGGACATCCCGAACCTCGTAGTCTTCCCGCCAGACATACGTTTCATTCGCCTCTCATTTGAATCGTCCAAATTCCAGATGTACTCTCGCAGGGTGTCTACTTCAGGCCTTTTCTCTCCCTCCCTTTTTTTTCTTCTTTACAGCCCAATTACCGGCCTTGTCTCCCGTCACCCTCTTTTTGCCCCTCCCAGGGTTTGTCACTTGAGAAAGAGCGTTCACTCGAAACGTCTGTGTCATTCTGCTTGTTTGTGCATTTTCTTGAAATTGAAAGAACGTCCTCAGCTGGGACCAGGGGCACTTGGCATCAGTTGATTTATAGATATTCACGTCGTGGGCTTTCCGGGTGGTTTCTTCTATTTCGGGTGGCGAGATGGAGAAGCACTAGTGTGTTCGATCTGGTTAGGAACTGTTGGAGAAAAGATTGCTCCAGCAGTTTGGAATTCTTTACACAGTGGTCGTTTGTATCTCGATGAGCGCTTATTTTGTTGGAGGAATGTTGCCGCAACATTGCTCTCCAAGTGTTTCATGAAAAGTTGCGCGCGCGGAGTAGAAAACAAATCGACCGACGAGTGGATTGGAGTGGCATAAGAAAACATTTACAAAGCTGATTGCAAGGTATGACTTATTGTTGACTTCACATTTGCACAATTCTTATTGGTTCCGTCCGATTTCGCCTCATCAAAAAAATTTAAAATTATAATTGGCTGATTGTAGACTGGCAGCACGATTGGATATATACGAGATTTAAGCACCTGCTGTTCGTGTGTTCGTGTATAGCTTATGGTGGTCACACTTATTTTAAAGTTGTTCAGGGACCAGGTATCTGCTATGTTAAAAATTGGAAAAACTAAAGTCGCCTGTAATTTGCCGAAGAAGAGACTGTAAATTTATAATCATATATTTTATTTACTCACATACCGCCTTAAATTATTATCTTGTTCAAGGAGCTATTCATGGTAGAAATTGAACCAGGAGGAACCAAACATATTAATATTGATTATTAAGAAAATCTTAGTTTCTCAAAATAATCAGATTCTATACCGTGAACAAAACAATGTCTTATTAGAAATCTATGCTAACTTAAAGGCATATAAAAGAATGTTCCTTTTGAATGTTCTCCAATATTTTGTAAAGTAACAACGAAGTAACGGGGTTACTTTGGCAAAGCAACTGTAACAAGTTACTCTTTCAATTTTGTAACTGACAAGGTTACTTTCCCCTGAGTAACTATAACTGTAACACTGTTACATTTTAGCAGTAACATACCCATGACTGCAGTTCGGCCAGTTTTTCTGACAACCCGATGAGCACGAGTGTGCACCAAGTTGCTCGCTAAAACGAGCCTTGGAGTCCTCCCAAGCAAATAAACAAAAGGCTATACCTAAGCTACACGGGCTACAGACAAAAGCAACGGCTAAACAAGCCAATCACCAGTTGAAGTCCTGGAGGTAGTGACTCAAAGAGGCGCACTTACACTGCTCAACCGCGCAACGGATACACTCGTCCGGATCGGAGGACAAAGAGAGAACGACCATGACGCCACCGCCCAACATTGCTTTAGCGATCGGCAACCCGCTGGCGGCCCGCTAAAAAGCAGTGGCTCGCAGCGGGTCACATTTTTATTATTGCCATTAGTTAAGAATGCGGCGTCCCCCAGATGTAATATTTTGGCTGGGGTCGTTATTTATGTCATTAAAGCGATACCAGTAAATTATTTCTTTTCGAGTTTTGGCCAGAGTTGCCCTTTAATAAAGGTTTTCATGCGTTTGCGAGGCATATGGTTGCAAATTAGAAGAATAATGCCACGCTACTTTGGTCACCCCAACCAACGAGGCAATTGCAGCTAGGTATTCGTTAGTAGTTTCTGTAGAGGGAGTCGAGTCTCAAATGTTTATCCCATAAAACTTACTTTTGGAACACGCTTTCGAGGACACTATTGACTCGCTATATCCAGATGTCACTAGTATGGCATAAGAAAATTTTATAGCGTGGAACGTGTTAATTTATTAGGTGTCGGACAGTTAAGACCTCATCATTTTCTTTTCTTCAACCGCTTCATGTGTTTGAGGGCTTTCTTGGACACCCTCTGTTGCTTTGCCATGGCCTCCTGGTACTTCTTCTTGTTGAAACTGGAAAGAGGGTTAAACTTGGTTAAACTTGTTTGAATCTTTAGGCCGGCTCAAAGATGTTGCCATGTGCATGGCCAAGAGCAAGCGCTTCTTCATACGTCTAGAAGATCTGCATTTGCTCTGTGCTGTGCTGGCCTACTACACTATAACAATGTAATAGGCTAACACAGAGTAAGTGTGAATCTTCTAGAAGTAAAGAGAAACATTTCCTCTTGGCCATGCATGCGGCAATATAACGAGCGCTGCATATCTACTGGAAGCAATAAATAGCCTCCTAATAATGAAACTCAATAAGGAATCTGCCCCAATTGGCAACAGGCAGCAACAATAAAGATGCATAAACAACAGTTCAACAAACCTTTTCATTTATACAATAAAGAAATAGCTGATAAGCAATTTAAAAGGAAGAAAAAAAATCAGAAGGGATGATTTAAACACATTTAAACATCTTTAGAATGGTCAGCCTAGAGCATTTAGAAGATTCAAAATGATCAGTTCAGCGACCTAGGTTTTCATTCTGAAGGAAGGTGACCATGTACCGCATTTGCTCGATACCAAGAATCCCTTTTTTTTTCAAGCTTGCAATGCTCAGACGGGTGGCCAGGTTCAAAGGAAGCTCAATGTTAGAAAATCTGCGCAAGAAATGTCACTTTATTTAGAGAAATGCAAAGGTACTGGGTACAGCGAAAGAGGAGAATAAGTTGCATGCAGGATCTAGCTCTCACTTTGCACCATGTTTCTCGAGTCACCTACTCTTGCCTCTTTGCGTTTCCTTGTGATCCAAGCTTTTTCACGGGCTCTTACAGCATAGGCCAACACCTTCTGGTGGTTGACGCTAAAAGCCAGACCACGTAAACAAAATTTAAAAAAAGAGCACACTTGTGAGACATGTTAAAGGAGCTGTGCAACAATTTCAGGGCTTTGCTTAAATAATTGTGGAAGTTGATGCCTGACACTTCTGTAGTGAACTACAGAAAACAGATTTTGCCTGGATACCCTAGTTTGTATTTAAAAAAATGAAAAAAGATCCAGGTTTTTGCCGCCTCTCAACTCGTACATCGTCTTCCGGGTCACGTGCGCGGTGACGTCACTTGAGAAGGCGCGGGGTTCCGGAAAAGTTCTCTCTTTAGAGCCATCAGCAAGCAGCGAGAACTCATCCGCTCGTGACCACGTGCTGGCGGGCGCCCCGCGAAATATACGGTGAAAGGAGGAAACTCTCATCCGGGTCTGGCCAAGCCCGTCCTTGCCCGTCCGGCGCTGTCCCCCTCCCCCTCCAGCTTCTGGTGGCTATTCGCGGTTTTGTGGACCTAGGATAGATGGCGCCACTAAAACTCCGTATAATAAAAGTTTTTTCGATGATACCAGGGTTTTGACGCATTTATATATATGTTGGAACGACAAGATTTGTAGAAAAGTTACCTTTTATCGAGCAGATATTCACACAACTTGCTATCTTTTTTACAACTACCCAAGCGACGTCACGCCGCTTGTTTCTCATGGCCGCCGCTCGTGGCTGCAGGTCGGGAAATAGTCTAAGTTTTTCCTCGCTATTACGCGGCGGAATCGCAACATTTCGATGAAAGGAGGTGTGTTTTCTGCCATTTGTGACACAGTGAACAATATCAAAAGCAGAAAATGCCAATTCTTTCAACGTTAAAATCGTTGCACAGCTCCTTTAAGCCCAATTGGAAAGCATCCTGCACCAATATATGGACATTACTAATCCTTCGAAACTAGGTGGGAGCTTGCACCACTTATGGACCGGTGCTGCCACTTGGTGCCAGTGACTTGGTGAGCTTGTTGGTCGACTTAGATGATCAAGCTTGACGGAGAGGACCACGCTTCTCTCCGATCTTATTTCCTTCACTGAAAAAGGCTGCTTTCATTCGCACACCTATGACATTTCGGCATTGTAGCCTTGACGTTTTGATTTCATCTCAAATGTTGCTTTTAAATAATATATGCCGACAGTCCCGCATATATTATTTAACCAGTCGACACAAGCTGTCGACTGGTACCACTTAGTTTAATTTAGCTTCACGAAATAACTTACGTAAATTTTTAAATTTTGTAAAAAATTAGATTCAGCCATAATTTGCACCTGCTACATAAAAGCCATTCTCTATTTATTTAAAAAAAATGTTCTATTGTTGCCAATGATGTAAACTATCTATGGGCTTAATCAGAGTTCCTTTTATTTGCTCTATTTGCTGTATAAAGTCGCCAATTGATCGTTTGGACTTGGAGGGGACCCCGAAATTGTCTGAATTATCAAACGGTCCAAAAAATCTACTGGGTGTCTCCCAAGGAGCGGCCAGGCTCTTTAAATCAACCGCAAAATTCGGTTTCTTAGCCTATCGCGCTACGACTTTGTGCAGCGTTGCCCACAGATGATGCATCTTTTCTGTAAAATTTGCGAAGGGCAAACTTACCTGAGGCAAAAGTAAAGAAAGAAAAAGGCTTAGCTCCTATGGAAACGCGGCGAAGCCACCGGTCTTCAAACAATATGGCACCGCTTCACACGGGAGACAAGAGACGGCGCAAGCGGTCGCAATGCCAACTGCTGCCAATCAGCGAGCATACGGCACCAAAAGCCGGCGTCTTTAACAGACAATCTTTTCGACTCAAAAGCGGCGCGAGCTTTTCTGACATCAGTTGCCAATGCATTATTTTATCATCCTTACTAATAAAACCTACTGAATGGACACATAATCAATTAAAAAAATAGTTTGTCGGGAAATTTTGACTGTTTTTTCGGGGTACTTATGTTGTCTGCTTAGCAGTTCCTTGCTGTTAACGCGCCTGTTTTTATTTCTGTGATTGTCACCGCTGCGGAATGCGTGCCGCTTTTGAGTCAAAACGATCGTCTGCTAATGCCGCCGGCTTTCGGCACCATATGCTCGTTCGTTGGCGGCAGCTGGCATTGCGATTGCTTCGCCATCGAAGGTTTCCCGTGGGAAGCGGTGCCACATTATTTGAAGACCGATGGCTTCGCTGCGTTTCCATAGGAGCTAAGCCTTTTTCTTTTTTAACTTTTCCCTCAGGAGAGTTCGATCTTTGCAAATTTTACAAAAAAAAAAAAAAAATAATGCACCATCTGTGGGCAACTCTGCACAAAATCGTAATGCGATAGGTTAAGAAACTGAATTTTGCGGTTGATTTAAAGAGCCTGGCCGTTCCTTGGGACACCCAGTATTTCAGCCAAAACATAAAATTTCTGAGCATATTCTGCTGCGTTTTGGCCATTTTCCACTTGCTTGGTGTCAATTTTAAGTTCTCATGCAACTTACGCTTTATATTGTCCACTTTTCACTTCTTTGTTTATCTGTTCGATAACAGTGCTGCACTTTGTCGGCACCTTCATTGGCACAAACAGCGAAGTTGAGGTTGGCGCCATTTAGCACTATTTGTAGACAACATCCAGTTCACCAAGCTCGCTTCAACACAAAGCCTATTGGCAAAAAACCTTCGCGCTCAAAGAACACAAGAACGGCAGACAGCCGCTCTTTTTCGCGGTTGCAGTCGAAAAACACGGATTACGAGAAAAACTGGAAGAGCCATAAGAAAGGGGCAGACGACGGCCATCTTGGCTACAGCGGAACCGGACTATAGCCTCAACCCAGCTTGTTCATTGCATAGGACGTGATATCGAGGCTACAGGGCAAAATCAAAACAAGCCAAATGGCGGTGACTAAGCTCGCAGCGCTATTGTGGCGGTTGTTTTGTGGCTGCAAACTGGGGAAATCACACAAATTATGTAAAAAATATAGAGGAATAAGCTCTCTGGCATTCGAAATTTTGGTCAATGTTATACATTAACTCTATGACGGTTTGGCGAAAACGTCCAAGCGATCGGACGTGTCCGAAAAATCAGTCGGCGACTGTACTGTAAACAACTTAATTTTTGCAAGAACGTAATTTTTGTGAATCGCCTACAAGTCACAAAAAATAGGTGCAGCGAACAATTCCGGTTAAATGCAAACAGATTGGAATCTATATGATGATCCCACTGCGTCACGAAATTAGAACCCGCAAATTATTCCAAAACTTCAGCTTTGACATAGATAGCGAAATATTGAGCCCGCAAAAAGATAAGTTGTTTACAGTAGGTGATCAAACACACATCCACACGAATCGGCGAAATGGTAGTTTTACAAGTTGGCTTTACTGCAAGGTTTCTAGCCTTAGAATACAAGGGCAGGGGAGTCACGAGTGTTTGGGAGGTGAAGGGACAACAGGAAAAGAAGGAGTAGAGGTGGAAGGGAGAGTTATCTGATCGTAGGACTAGGAAAAAACTCTGCCCCTTTGCCCTTTGTCATTCTAACGCCACTAGCTACACATATTTATTTATTTATTTATTTTTTTTTGCGGAGAAGGGAGGATTTATTTTGGGAATCTCCAGCTGGGGTGCATATTTTGCTCATCTCAATTCAGTGCACATAATATTTCTTTATCTTAACGGAAATCGAAAACCAGAAGACGTGATTTACAACTGGCAGCTATCATTCCAGACCCCTGCTCCAGCTTTTTTACATTCAAAGTTGCTCGTGTCTAGTTTTATAAATGTCCGATGTTCACAGATTCGGTCGAGTCTTACGACGGTCGACATAAAAAATGAGCAATCCCGCATGAATCTGCAGTAGAGTCACGGCGAAGTCGTTGGGCATCGGTGTCGTGTTCGGGCACTGTGGAGTCTCAACAGCGAATTCTCTCGACAACGTCGTTGTTAGTGAATCCACGGCCCACTTGCGGCAAACACACCGAGGCTCGATGAGAGAAGCCGCAGATGCGTCTGTATTGGTGTCGCCGCGTTGCGAGATGCTGTGCTGTCGACATTGCTGACGTAAGCTAATTAGCACTGCATGGATCTACCAGCAATGAGATTTGGAAAGGGAGGGGGGGGGGGGGGGGGGGGGGGGGAGTAACCTTAACCAGAGAGTACACCTTTAAACGCGCATCTAAGGCATCTTACCCTTGAAATGGAAAGCGAAACACTTCCT